TCCTTTACCTTTAACAACTTGTGACCCGCGCCCAGCAGCCCTGCCCCCTTTTTTAATGGTTCAGGTGGGACAATTCTACATAGAGGCTTTCAAATGAATCGCTGTGCGAAAGTGGTCTGCCGCAATGCGGAACTCCCGTTTTGGAAACACATACACCCACTCTGCAGTCCCTGCTCGCTGAGGTTACTGTTAGGCAAAGATCCTCATCTTAGATCCGGCATTGTCTCTTCTCCACCAGCGTCTTGTGGACCTCCCAATCTGGCGGCTTGCTCCTAGTAGGGTTGATTGGTAACTATAAGTAGTAAAAGATTACTTTAGATTAAAACAGTTTAAAAAACGAGAATGCTTCAGTTGTGGAATCCCTTGAAAACATGGCGTTCTACCGATGTGATTATGTGAAGCATGTGAGCTAGCCTTGAACTCTGCTGTTCGAGATTGACAGTAATTTGCAGAAACACTGATTATACAGAGTTGAATAAAACAGTCGTATTTAGGAGCTGTTGGTTTGGGGGGAGGTGGTGGGCATATTGCCTTGCGCTAGTTCCTTGTGCTGATTCACGTTAACTAACAGGTCTTATTCTGTTGAGACGTGTAAACTCTTGTGAAGCTGCGAAATGGAAAAATTGAATCACTTTGCTTACAAGAATCTACAGGTCACAAGGTGGCCTGTACCATTTGGTGCCACCATCAAGCCGAACTGCCACACTCCCGCTTCTGCCTTTCCCTGGTTTCAGTGGAATGTGAGACTCAGAATTCGTCAGCTTGCTCCGACTTATTTGGGAGTCCATTGAATGCTTTCCCCATTAAATCTGAAATATTGCGCGAACACATTACGTAGAGTGCGAGTTAATATATAGGCATTGATTCCTAATGCTGTTGTGTTTTTTCTCCTGAGCTGGGCTTATATCTCGTTGCAATGAGAGGAATATAAATGTGCCATAGGCTAATATTTGCTTTAGGGGTCTGCATGAGGCAGGCATATTCTCTGTATTGCGAGGGATCAGGCCAACTGTTTCGTTCTCTCTTCTCTGCTGCAAAAAAAGTTTTTCACATTTCAGATGACACGAATCATGCGTTCGTTGCACGTGACGCCATGCATGTGCGAGACGTGCGGTTCAAAGCACAATTCGATAAACGAGCCTCGAGCAAAAGTCAGTTTTCACTCTCATAGGATAATCAAGGCTTTGATTATAAAAGGTTTCCCTATTCTAGGAAGACGTCTCGAATGTGCTGTCAGCGATTTTCCCCGGAGCTACACCGCAACAACTCTCCGGTCTGGCTGATTTGACCAAGTTGAATCGCACACCTGTACCAGCGCCACAACGGATGGGATCCGGTAAGTTGTAAGATTTGTGCTTATATAACGTTTCATTTTGAATCGGGCACTTTTCGAATCAAATCGGACATTTTTGAAACCAAAATAGTCTTTTCCCGAACCAAATCATACACACGCGAATCTCGAATTTTGAAACTTTTTTTTCAGTGCTGCTATTTTCACGTCCATTATTCACAAAACGAATATATTCATGGATACGGGCGGACCGTCTCCATTTTTTTTCAGCTGCACTCTGAGCCTCGCCTCTTTTTCGCTGCTACTTTTGCCTACCTTCGCTGATTTTTGATGTTTTCTTACAAATTTCCCGCCCTTTTTTGAGCTGTAACAGGTAGTTCCGCTCTCCACGCTAAGCTCCACCCACTCTGCAGAAGGCCCGCCCACTCTTGAAAAGTGACCAGAACCGGCAGGCTAGGGTATCCCACTCACGCGGATTTCAACTGAAAGGCTAGAGTCTCCCCTCACGCGGAACAAAAAAAAACAAGGCACAGTTTGTTCCGAGTGACAAGCGAGGCCCTAACTTGCCAGACGAGACTAGCCTCTCGATTCCGACCATTTTTCAAAAATGGCTTTTGTGAAGTGGGCGGAGCCAGTGGGCGGACTGGATGAGCTTATTTCACCCAATGAAGAAAGGGTGTAAAAAGAAGGACGATGAAAATAGCTATAAAGTCTCAAATTCTGCGTGTGGCCGATCTAATTTGAATAGTGTCTGCTTCGGTTTCGAAAGTGTCAAATCTAAAATGGGAATGGTAAATGTACAGTTCCGATTAATTCCTTGGTTTCCAGGATACGCTGGCCATCCAGGTGGTGGAAAGGTTCCCATGCCAGTGCCTCCAGATAGGAGAGCTGTAGCCGAGTATGCCCGTGCTTATGGCGGAGCGGCAGCAGCTAAGCGATTTGGTATTGCACCACCCGTTTCCACATACTATCAGCGAAAGGATAGCAATAGCAGTGAGTGACCTGCTTATTCCTTTCTTGCTCCCGTCAGCTTCCTATTAATTGTATTGATTTCAGCCTTGCTAGGAACTGGGGTTAATGCCTCACCTGGCCCATCGTCAGAGGGTGAAGCTGACGCAATGGGTCAAGGGATGTCGGACACTGCCGTTGCTCCCGCGGTCACTACTCCCTCCCAGCTGAATCCATCCATACCAAATATCAGCAACCCTATTGCTGCGCTTCAACAGGTTGGAACTTCGAGGTCCCTTCTAATTCTGGCTGTTTTTTGTTTGTTGTGGAGAACTTATTGGATGATTTTAGCAGCCGACTACCCTCGGTGCTTTGCCGACTTCACAGCCTCACACGGCATCAGTTTCGGCACCGGCTACAGCCCAACCTGCAGCCCAGGGGATGTTTTCCCCGGCTATGGTTGATATGCTGCGAATGAATGCCGCTCATGCAACAGGATCTCCGGGTTTCTTACGAGGGCGAGGGCGAGGTCGTCCAAAACTGATTGGTCAGTGGTGAAGTTGATTACTATCGTACATTCCAATGAAAACCCGCTGTTCAAGGTGATGAGCTGGATGCGGATTTGGTGGACTACATGGTCACAGTGAAGCAGGCTGATCCTCATGGCCATCTCACAGCTTCTCAAGCTCTTATCATCGCCAAGCAGTATATTCTCGAGAAGGTATGGGAAGATTTAGCAAGTAATATTGTTTACCTTTTCTGGTTTTTACGCCTGCTGGGAAAGTGGGCGTGACATTCCGCGTATAGAGGCTGACTGGGGGCGGGCGGTTACTGGCAACGTCATTGATGGAAGGGCTGCGTGAGTTGTGGCCAAACGATCTCTCATAGCTTCTCCATCAATAATGTTGAAGGTAAATACCCCTCCCCAGCACGTACCCACTGACTTTGGAAATCAAGGAGGTCACCTTTCTCAGCATTTGAAAAAAATGCGGTTTTTCTTTTGTTAACCGTCAAAATTCATGGTTTTTAGGCTCCGGGCTTGTTAGAGGAACATGGCGGACATGTGAAGCTGAAGCTGACGTGGGCGATGAAGTTGGTGTCGAGAATTGCTGAGAGGCAAAAGGTACGGACAACGGTTGGTCGATATTCGAGCCCACTTCAGCTTGGTGGGGGCACTTTAGTGGCTCCCACCGATCACAGATGATGCGTCTTGTGGAGACCTCTGAATTACTGTAAAGCTAATGAGCTTTTAGACTTGAGTAGAGTCCACAGGTGTATCAAGGTGAGACGTGCAAAGACGCACTTTTGCTAGTTTCTGCTGCTAATCCGTGCAATGCAACACGAACTAGCAGCAGAAACTAGCGAAAGTGCAAAATGCCCCCTCTGAGCCGAACAGCGCCGATATTCCTGTCTTAACTGAAAGCTTAGTTACAGGAAATCGAACTAGGACTGCCAGCGGGTAGCCTGTCAAACATGGGACGGCATCAGCTGAACAGCCTGAACAACTCGTTGACCGGAGGCGGATTCATGGCCGATATGATGACGCAAAACATCCTCAGTCATCATATGATGATGAATATGAACTCGCAAATCAAGCAGGAAGTCCAACCGGGTTCTGAAGAACCGAAAGAGGAGATGCAGCCAACTGGTAAGCGCTGGCCTTTTGTTCTGAAAAGTCGAAAAGTCTCTGGGTCGAGTCTTTTCCGTCATCGTTATAGGAAGTTTCTAGCAAATTCTGGCAAGTTCTAATTTTTGCCGTAGAAAATACAACAATAAAAGTAGTTCTACCGTAGTTTTAAATGAAATCAGGATTAGAGTAATGAACATGGGCCATGGAGACCTCTCGAGTGGTTTTCAGTAGCGATTGTATTAAAGGAGAAAATGAGACGACTGATTAGTTTTGGTGTGGTTTGGATTAGATGTAGAAAAGAGATTAAGGAAAATAGGGAGCTAGTTGATTACATAGGAACTTGTTTCGTTCTAGTGGGGGCTGCAAGTTCTGCCACTTATTTTCCATTATTTTCCATTTTTTGAGTGGTCATTGATATTATCTGGGCACTATGTGAAATAGTGGACAAATATGGAAAAAATTTGCAAGTCTGATCTTTTTGGCGGAGGTCTAGACTGATTTTCGGGATAAAAATAGGGATGTGAACCTCGCCCTAGCCTAGCTCGCCTAGTGGCCGGCCCTAGTTCTCGTAGGTGGAGGGGGGGGGGACGAATTGTGGACGTTTTGGGACGGACTCGCTATGAAATGTCGGCGAATCTGTGTAACTGTTCTATGTGTGCCGCACCTCGTGGAACCTGAGGAAATTTACCTTCGGAAGAGCATTTCAAAAAAATCTGGCCCTTTTCCTCAGAAGGGTTCGTAGTTGATTATTAGAGAGGTCGTATTTGTTTAGAGAAATATTTCCGAGTAGCGACTGAAGTTTCAGGCTGTTGGCTTTTCTCTGTTTTTTTTTTCGTATCGTGTTCACTACATAGCACTTCCCTGACCCCTTCTTCCCTATTCGACGGCATTTTTCGTGAAACAGCTGGAGACCTTGGAACAGCGGTAGGAAGTTGGGAAAACATAGGTAGATGGGTATAAAAATAGTCGTAGGGAATAGGGAAGGGGTTGTATCAGACGGGGTTTTTTTAGGGAGCGGGGGCGCTCGCACTGGCACCTTTTCTTGTTGATATAGATGTAGATAGTAGGGCGTGTTGGAGCGTGTCAGGAGGGCTGCGCTTAGCGCCAACCCATTCTCCACCGATTGTTGTCGCTTATCCGCTTCAACAACTGGTGGAGGACGTGCTGGCTCCGCCCCAAATCCAGTCCGCCTGATACGCCCCTGCACCTACCGCGAACAAGACTAAATCTATTTTTAAGAAACTGAAGAAGGAGTGAGTAGTAACAGGACATGCTAGTGGCAAAGATGGAATGAAGGGGAAGGTGAAGGGGGTGTTGTTAGATCGTATCCCCTCATCCCCATTGTGTACCCTACTTGTTCGACACTAATTGTCTGTATTTCAGTTGGTGCACCGGAGATCCTGAACATCAAGGAGTTGAATCTGCCTTTCCTGAATAACTTGTTCGGCTGTTCCGATGAGAACTCAGGTGTAATTGAGGGTGAACTGCCTGCGTCAGCGGCACCTTCAGAACACGATCAGGAAATGAACCTCGGTAACGTCGGAAACTAAACGGCTGGTCGACAGTAGTTGAAATAGTTATAATAGAAATGCTATTTTGTTTTTGTAAAATGTAACCCTAATCGCAGATACACTTGAGAAAGTCTGAATTTGATGGCGAGCGCGAGCGCGTTCAAGCGATGAATCTGTGCTTAGGCTAACTCAGCAAATGATTGATCGGTAGGATAGCGGTCGTCGTCGGATATGTTTTGATTGACTGACATATTGATTGGTTATGACATTTTATTGTTTTATGTGCACCATATGAGTTCATTTTTATTCCGTTGTATATTGTTTTATACCTGTTTATGGCCTCTGTTGTATTGTGTCTCCTCTCCATATTATGCTCGTTCCTCCCCCATGTGTGCTAAATCTACAGTTATGTGGCGCTGAATAGGCCCTTGTGGCTGCATTCCTCTTCCTTTCTTATAGTAGATCTTTTTTGCTACAGTATTGATCCATTTCCTCTCATATCCCATGTCTTATGCGTGTTAGCAGCTTTTCAAATCGGGTGAAACCCTTGGCGACATCCTAAAGGTCCTCGACTGTTTGGAAGGGACAGGACTAGCCTTTGGGCTACATCTATACCGGCTATAAACTCTCATAACAGTCATTAGTTTTTGGCCGTTTATGTGACAAGACAATCGTAATATGCCGCGCTAGTGGGCGTGGCGAGCGACGCCGCACAATACGGACGAGTTATCCTGCCTAGCCGTTTATATTCGAAAGCTTGATATCGCCCTTTATGAACTGTTGTCTTCGCTTGCATTCCATTCCATAATAGTTAAGCTTTTCTAGTCGACTAATGGATCCGACCGCGGATTTCCTGCGCTGCGTCGATGCGCCGCGCGCGACAACACGAGGCATTTACGATTGTCTTGTCCGCGTTTCCAGCGATGACCCGCGTCTCCAAATGATTTCAAGAGGAACCAGCCATACCTTCCCCCTCTCGGGCTCCTCATCTGTAGCACATTGCCCGGACATTGTCTTCCACTTGTGTGGCTTTATCTAATCTCATATTCAGATTTTAACCAAACTCATACTTATATATTTTTACGGCATTGTACTCTCTTTGTTCGCGTCGTGAATTTTTAAAATACTTGTTTTTTTAATATTTTCATTTTTGTGTTCATATCTTGTCTTACCCGTGTTCTCAAAGCACGTTTTAGCGACATATTGTTCGAGCTCTGCGATGCCCAGTTTTTTCGATGTTATTTTTTAATATGTCCACCAATTTTTTTGAATATTGCTGTTTTTTTTGTATTTTGTCATCTCCTCGTTGTTGAACCACATCATCATCACTTCACCTCTCTATCTCCCCGTCTTTATATCTCCAATTACGTGCAATAAACACACAGTTAATGGTGTATTGTTATGGCATGAATAATACACTCCAGTAAACATTCATATTTTTCGTCTTTTATTCAGTCATCAACGAGAACGAGCGATAGGAATAGACTGGAGGGGGGGGGGGGGAAGTTTGTGTGTTGAATTCGATGAATGTATGGTGTTCAAAAAGGGGATTCGAGACGCCGCTTACGTTTATTGATCGATAGTCAAGAAGTAATCATTCTGCACCGGCAGGGTACAGCATCGTGATGTATGAGGTGATTTTAGGTACGTCCCCCATTCTGAGAGAGGGGATCAGTACGGTACACCCCCTCCCCCCCCACCTTCCCCAATCCCCAACACCTACCTACCAATTCGCCACACATTCCAGTCCAGTTTTCCACCCAAAATTCGAGGGCGGGGGATTTGTAGTGCACATGAAACAGGAAAAATCACGCAAAAATTCAGCAACCGGAAAGTCAACGCGACCAATTTCTCTCAAAGGCACGTACGACCCCCCCCCTCTCAACGACCAAATACGACCCCCCTCCCCAGAGAAGAAGCACGACCCTCATGTGTTTCACACAACGATGCTGTACCATGTACACCGGGCGCCATCCATGAGGGACAAAAATAATCTTGGTGCACATTTTAGTCGGAATTTATAGTGCACGTGAAACAGGAAAATCACGCAAAAAGTCAAGCAACCGGAAAACCAACGCGACAAATTTCTCTCAAAGGCACATACGACCCCCCTCTCAACGACCAAATACGACCCCCCTCCCCAGAGAAGAAGCACGACCCTCATGTGTTTCACACAACGATGCTGTACCATGTACAGCGGGCGCCATCCATAAGGGACAGTGACAGGGCACCTCGTTGTTGGGGATTCCCCAACAGGGGACTTGTATTTGGTCGCTGGAAGAGGGTCGTATTTCCCTTCTGGACTTTTGGGAGAAGTTGCTGACTTCTCGTTACCTCAGGTCGACAGCGCGATGAGGGAACCAAGGGGGGGGGTCGTGTGGCTCGAACAATATCCATAACCAATGATGTGCCCGGAACGGAGGTTACGTCGCCATCCTTCCCATGTTCCCTCCCCCAAACCCTGCATACTATTCTAATCCGATCTTCTTCAACCCCAAAGTCTACCTTATCTACCTCCTTGTTTTCCTACCACCTCATTTGTTTGCAGGCCTGCAATTTTCCAGAAGAATGTTCTCTACGGGCACGAGGCGGGCATGAAGTTAGGAATGAAACGAATGTTGGTGTTTTTTTGCGGGTACTAAGTGGGAGGGTGCCAACTTCCCGAAAACCTTTCCAGTTTTTCCTAAAAAGGAAAACTGGGAGGGGAGTCCTATCAAGCCACCTTTGGGGGAGGCACATCATTGGTTGGGGATTTTGGTCGAGTGCACAAAACTGCGCACTCGACCAAAATCCCCAACCGATGATGTGCCTTCCCCCCAAAGTTGGCTTGATACGACTCCCCTCCTAGGTTCCTCCCCTCCTCACCAAGCTGTCGAGCGGGGGCAACGAGCATTGAAGGAAAACCCACGCAAAGTCAACGACTTCTCTCAGGAAGGCCAAAATGGCAAGTGAGGAGGCGACCGCGGTTGCTCCTTCCCTAGGGCCAAGATACTAGCCAACTCAGACCCACTCCCTCCGCCACTTGATGACGTTCCATGAACAAAGAAAATCACTGCAGGAGAGAACCGTTTTATGTATATAGAGGTGAACCGCAGTACGGACCCTCTATTCTTCTATTTTTTCGCCGTCCCTCCCGTGAACTAGGGAAGCCCGACGGTGAGGTACATTAGTCCAAGGCGTCGGTGCAATATAATAGGCGCATCTGAGCGTGAAAGCAAGTGAATATCAAGAAACCGGAAATACACTGGTGTTTAGAAAGAATCTTCTAGCATAGAAGGTACATGTCCCGTTCCCACTTCCGTATATAGATTTTCTCAAGCGATGCTCTAGCTTTATAATCTTCATTATTTCCAGGCATGGCTCAGTAAAGACGAGAACTACCCATCTCTTTTGCTTTTACTAGTACACAGTCGATCTCTCGCGACAGTGGGGCGGCCTTTCGTCCGCGTTGTAAGCGTGCGCCGACGCACGCTGGCGATCGATAATGCGAGACGCCCAATTAACCACGATGGCTCGACGCGTTTCAGCTTCGAAACAGCTAAAATTTATTCTTCGTTCGAGCTTCAAATGAAGCAAGGTGAGTTATGTTTGCGAGGAAGCAACCATATCATTATTGCCATGAAATTGAGTAAGTAGCATTAGAAAGTTAAAAACGGAAGACATTCACGAGAAGTAAAGCAAATGGAAAAAGAAAGAAAGAAACAAGTTCTTGTACAAGTAGAGCTTTTATGCTGAATGGCATGACAGAATGTAACTATTTCCCAGTAACACATAACTCACCTGTGTTTTTAAAGCTGAAACCGGAAAATTAGAACAATATCAGCCTTTGCAAGCTGATTATTGCAGAAAAACAGACATAAAATTATTAGCAGTAAATCAGGCTGATTCGTGAGGGCTCAGCAACCAAATCGCAATCGCGGGAGTTCAGATGGACAGAGTGATGAAGGGGCGCGCCGGCGGGGTGTGCTAAGCGCCCAAGAGTCAGTGTCAGAGACGCGGGGGCAATGACGATGATTTCCTGGAATTTCTCGGCTTTCCATCGTCACGCAATCAGCGGGACGCTCGCCGGCTGTACATATCACTGAACGCCTTCTGTGCTGTAACCAGTTTGATGATGACGATGAAAAGTGGTCTATGGGAAAAAGACACCCATTTTGTGAGGATAAGCACCAGTAGGGGACGATAATATGGCATCTTACCGGGGTTAAAGAGCTCCGTTCGGCGTTCGCTGGAATGGCTAGCTACGTGAAAGGCAAACAAGGTTTCTCCAGCAATCTCACGCACGCTCTTTCTGGGCTTGCAGGTTCGAAGGAAAGTGATCGCAAGTGAGGTATCACAGGTGGTTAAAATATGGTATAGTGTAAGGTATTGTAGGGTCATGTAATGTATGTAAGACAAATTTTTGTTAGCCTCACAGTTAGTTTTCAAATTATTATATGGGGGTCAAAATAAGGAGGTAGGTTGGGTTTCCGTTTCGCACGTGCCTTGAGGCAAGAACCAAACGAGTTGCATCCTTCTTTTGTGCTCGTCAGTAAGGGAAAGAAGGAATAAAAGTAAAGATAAAGGTAAAGTTATAACAATAAAGGTAAAGTTGCACTCGGCATAGGTCGAGTGCTACAGCCTATCACCACGGTGCCTCGTCGCTGCCTGGCTTGAAGAGGCATATTGCACTTCTGCTAGGTTTTTGTGCAGGTTGACAGCCTTAAACTCTTGGGAAGCTGCGAAATGATAGATGGAGCCACTTAAGCTATAGAAATCTAGAGGTCTCCACTTGGTGCCTTATACAAGCCTCGCTGAATGCCATTTGATGCCCAGACCGAACTGTACCCATGCCTCAAGAGGGAACTTACATTTTCGCAAACGAAATGTTGTCGGTCTAGAAATGTGAGTTGTCCCTAGATTCGATTGAGGTCCATCAATTTTGCAGAATTTCAACCAATTTATTTTATCTGCAGTGCTCAAGGACTTTGAAAAAAAAACTCGTCCGTTCGGCATTGTCAAATGTAAAACGTTTATTGGTCGATCACATGAATAAATGC